ATGATTTATGATTTTTGTAAAATGCACTACTTTTTATCACATAATTTAAAGTGTTCAGTTTGTTTTATTCTATGATGAAGTTTGCAATTTTTCAAAACTAAAATTTTAAGCAAACAGTATTTAGCTCAACGTTGAAGGATTTATTTATGTTTTAATATTGCACATGTGTTAAATTATGTACACAGATAGACTTTAAACAACTAAGGGGTTTAGACAGYTGGACAACATTCAATTTGATGAAGCAAACTTTATTTTTATTGAAGTCTGTCATGAATAAAATAATTATAGAGCAAATTCTGGTAGCTTATTCAAAAGCTTTTTTGATAGATGAGACTTTGAAAAATATGAATCTCTTGATCAGTATTCTTTACATAGGAGAAAATGCACTTTGTAMAACATTGTATTTTGTTAATGTTAAAATGGAGAATATTTGGACCATGTTATTGTGATAGGCCACCTTGTTGGACCACATCCTAAAATAGAGGCTGGAGACTTGAGATGAGAATTTATGACTTGAACCCCCAGTCCATGAATAATGAAACGAGCCTTCCTTGAAGGGTTGTATATCGTCTCTGGTCTTGCATTTCAATGTTTCAATTAAAAAATTTATAGATTCTAGTGCTCAGATTAAGAGAAGGGAATGATTGTCAGCTACTACTGCTCCATTTTGTCAGTTTGGTGTTGGTGAAACTGACTGAGCCATTATGAGTTTGYTAAGGCTGTGGTGGCCATGTTGAATTTGACTGGCTCCAAGTCTTAATGAGTTTTAAATGTGCATTAAGTTCAATTCAATTTACGTTTATTGCCATTGTGCTGAAAAAAAAAACATAAAAAGGTAATCAGCAGCATTTCATTAGCAGCACAATTATCCTATCTAAAATAAATAGTAAAACTCTCMTCAAACAAAGAAAGACWTGATTAAAATYATGTRTCATTTAAAAAATGCCTAAGATGTTATTAAAATATCTAAATTATAACGTGTAAGAATGTATATAAAATGTTAGAAGACTGCATCAATTAATTACAGAGGAACTAAAAGCTTAATCAGATGAGCCACAGCCAGAAGGAAAAAGCTGTTCCTCCTCTCGTGTGAGATTGTTCTCAGCCTGCCTGAGAGGAGAGGAGAAAACGTTTCTTTCCTGGGTGAGTTTAGTTCCTGGGAATGTTCCCCATGCAACTTTGCAGACAGAATGAGTGGAGCTTGCCTTGAAGAGAAGGTTTGAAGACCAAAATAAACATTTCTTTCAGGGAGTTTCATTAAAATCTACCCAGTGGTTCATGAAATATTTTGCTAACAGACAAAATATACTGACATGAAGGCGATTACTCTCCTTTCACAGCGACAGGCAACAACCCAACAAACCAAGCCTACAGGCAGCTTTCATCAACTGTTTCAAGCCACACYGGGCATGGCTTAAATTTACACCTTCACACGTACCACCGGTCAGCAAGAACAAGCTGAACCCAATTGTGGTGGTACTGGGCCAGGGGGGGATACAGAAGGATGGCGTATTGATCAGATCAGGATCTGTAGCTTACAAACCATCATAACTTTGAGGTATTGTAATTCCATATTTGTGCTTTGTTTAGGGTAGAACTGGGTCTATKGACTTAACAGATGATAGATACAACCGTGTTACTTCAACACACTTTTTCAAAAAGCAGTAAAAAGACAGAGTTCTGTCAATAGTTCAAGTGTTCCAGATCACTTTTACTGCTTGAACTCATTTATTACATTGCATAGTTCAACTGTTTTATCTAATCTAATTCTGTGCTTGTATTGATAAATATGAAAAAGCTATCATATTGACATATTGTCTGTTAGATCATTTCTATCATCAGTGGACACACACACACACACACACACACACACACACACACACACACACACACACACACACACACACACACACACACACACACACACACACACACACACACACACACACACACACACACACACGAGAGTTATTTGGCTTCACTGTTCTCCATTCTGTACAGAGCCTGTATGAAAACAAGTGAAAACATTGCTTTGATCCATTCTTTGTTTTAATGTGTTGGATTGTTTTCATCCTGACCCATTTGCACCAAGTCACCAATTCCCAAACATTTGTCTTTCCTTGATGTTTGTGGAGAGTCTGTGAAATTTCAAGTTACAACATCAAATTATTGACTTGGGCAGTTCCCTCCTTCCAGATTTGRCCACAGTCTTTGTCCCAGGAATTTTACTGCTTCTTTTCTCGATGCCGCTGTCAGCTATCATTTTACTGCCATATTGATGCATCCTTCCTCCACCCCATTCTCCTCTTTTTCATCAGGACCGGTGCTCCATGGATCACTCTAATTATCTCATCAGTGGTCCTGCTCTACGTCACATCCATCCAGATCCCCATCATTACTCCTACTCAGGTCCACACCAGCACCAGTGACGCATTGGAGAGGAATTTACTTTCACAACTTATATAGCATCACTACCTTGTTTGGATGATTTTTGCCATGCAGAGGTCAGCTGACAGGACTTTGACACGTCAGCCTTGACTTATTTCCCACCTGAAATAGTGTAATATTACATAATACCAGGTTTAATTTAATAATGTTTTAATACCACTGATGAGAATTCATAATAAAACCAATAAAACCAAATTGCTTGTGTATTTGTATTGGTATCTTGTTTGCACTTTGCTCCAGGAGAAAAAACACATTTCTGCCAATATCTGTCCAGGTGTTTGACCTGATTGGTTAATTTTAAAGCGCCATTGTAGCTGCTTTTCAAAACTGAAATAAGATTAATAGATTAGTTTTTATTGCGTAGCTTTTTCCCATTGTGTGTTTGTGATATTTAAACTAAAACTTGGAGCTGGTACCATGCTACACATGCAAACTCTTACATAAACATAAAAATAGGTATCATTTTGGAAAAAAAAAAGTTAATATATAACATGGTTAAAATACAATATAGTCTTGTTCAAAACTTTTTGTAATGTTTGATGAATTAATCATTCTTTATAAAGACAAATAAAACATTTTTAAATTAACATTTTCCCACACAACTCTTTGTAAATCTTTTTCTTCCTCTTTTTTTTGACCTCAAGTCTGTCTGAARCCAAGGTTGTGGAGGACGTCCCTCTGCATTTTGTTTCTCCATAGGTCAGTGCATTTTGTTCCTAATGCAAAACCAATTATTAGCCATTGCTGTAAAGGATGAGCGTGTGCCTGTGCGTGGCATGGTGGTTATTAAGAAGCCAGGATGGCTTTATAAACAACTACTTCACTAATAGGACTAAATGCATATTGTTTTCCTTCTGTTGCGAGCTTGTTTTTGTTGTGACGGAAGGAGGCCTGTTCAGCTGATGAGTGTTTTAGTATTCGTCTAACCGCTAAGAGGAGACAGTACCAATTTAGTTTAGTTATTTATTTTAATTTTGGGCCGTTGGCAACACCATCAACAATTTCAGAAGGTATTTTTTTTGTTTGTTTGTTTTTAGTAAACACTGTTCTTAGTTGTATTTCATAAGTTTTATGACAAAACCATTCAAAACAAAAATTWAATAAATACAGAAGAAAAATGAACTCAGTGTATATATTATGCACAAAAAAAGTTGTTTTGCTGAAAAAYGAAACAAAATCCCTTTTGTGATGAAGGTCTTTATAGCCTCATGTTTACAGAAGACTATACTTTGTGAAATAGAGTTTTGTGCTGCCGTTGTTCTCAACAAAGTCAAGAAAAACAGCATAAAACAGTTGTTCAGATATTAAAATACAACACTGGATGGAGTAACAGTTTGCTCTGATATAGAGTCATAAAGAATCAGGACATTGACACAAATCTCATTGTTTTGGCTGTAAACAACACCAAAGTGGGTTTGAAACAAAAAAAAAGCAAGATTTGCTTTAATTGCATACTTTCAACTTTAATTTGAAGGTATTTACATCTACTTCTGGTGAACAGTGTATGAATTACAACAGTTTGTATTGAAGCTGAAAGTCTGCAATTATCTTGTTTGTTTCATTTTAAATCCATTGTGATGGTGAAAGATGAGAATTGTGCCAATGTCCCAATATTTATAGACTCGATGGATGGATGGATGGATGGATGGATGGATGGATGGATGGATGGATGGATGGATGGATGGATGGATGGATGGATGGATGGATGGCATAACCATGTTAAAAAAGTGTGATAGAGTAGTGGGAAATAAAACAAAATTTTTCACAAAGGTTATTTTTTAATTATTCAAATTGCTTTTTTCATTTTTTATATTTTTTTAATGCAAGAAMGATCTCCATTTGACAGAAAACATTCAAGGCTACAGCTTTAAATGTCAGGTTTAACRTTTTGTTTTCTGAAGAGGTTGCACCTCTTGTGTATTTTGTTGAGTTTACATGACAATAATTTAGTTGCCTATTATTTCAATCATTCATTAAACATTGTTCTACGTGTATATCAATTTAATCTCTTCTTTATTTGACTGTTTTGAATGTTAGATATTTTGGATCTCTAACATTTTTTTTTTGTTTTGTCTTGTTGCATGGTGAAAACATTTAAGTCATTTTACACCTGAGTTCTGCTTTTCAGTTCTCCAATGACTCAGCTTCATAACAGGCTTTGAGGCATTTTGAATTGCAGCGTTACATTGCATGAGCAAATACGTTTTTATACTTTGCAGTAGAGAAAAATGTCAAATTCCCCTTTTAGATTTTTCACATTCAACTAAAAATGATGACATTTTATGTAAGAYCTGTTATTATTCTGATTTTGTACTTTAGACAGAGCCGAATCTTTCTCCTAAATATGTCTCTTTGCTAAATGTGTTTATTCACAACAAAAACAGCTTCAGTATGTCTCTATCTTTTTTATGTACAATGTGAAATTTTATAAAGTCAAACTACTTCAGCACCTTGAATTTTTTAGATTGCCCATCTGTATGAAATGTTCTAATTATTTTCTTTTCTTTTGTAGGTGTTTTGTGCTACTGATGGGATCTTATCAGCTTTATCAATGTATCGTCTTCCTTGAAACCTTCATGGAGCTCATTCAGGCCACCCAAATGTCCTTACTGCCTCAGGAAGAGGCCACAGCTACCTGGAGCAACAGCTCAGTCCTGCCTTACTCCAGTGCTTTGCTGTTTGCGACTCCCTCGGCACCAGAACCCAGCATCGCCCCAATCGACGGATCGTTCTTCTTTAACAGCACCTGTCAGAACTGCACCAAAAGCACATCTGTCTCCCTCCCTGGTTTGGCAGGAATCTTCATCCCTCTTATTTATGGGATGGTTTGTATAGTTGGCTTAGTGGGAAACACTCTGGTCATCCACGTTATTGTGAACTACACAAAAAACGAGTCAGTCACAAACATCTACATCTTGAATCTAGCCATCGCAGATGAGCTTTTTATGCTCGGCCTGCCTTTCTTGGCCGTACAAAATGCTCTCCTCTCCTGGCCTTTTGGCTCATTGATGTGTCGCGTGGTCATGACGGTCGATGCTTTCAACCAGTTTACCAGCATCTTTTGCCTGACTGTGATGTCGGTGGATCGATACCTGGCTGTCGTCCACCCCATCCGGTCCTCCTGGTGGCGACGCCCCCACGTGGCCAAGGCTATCAGCGGCACAGTGTGGGCTGGGTCCTTTGTGGTGGTGCTGCCGGTGGTGGTGTTTGCAGATGTGCTGAAGGATGATGGGAACTGCAGCATCGTGTGGCCTGAACCCGCAGAAGTGTGGAAGACATCTTTCATTGTGTACACGTGTACTGTTGGCTTCTTCTGTCCTCTGCTTGTCATCTCCTTGTGCTACCTGCTCATCATCATCAAGGTAGGACTTTTATTGTCACACAGACATAATGAAAAAAAWATATTGTTAACAGAGTTGGGAGTTGCAATTTATTGGGATTTTGTTGGCTTGAAATCTATTTATCCTAAATTTCCTGTCAGTTTATTGTTCAGAACCAATAAGCCGACAGATTTCTGTTTCTATGATGTTTTCTTTTTGAACAGAAATAATAAGAAAGCAACATTATAACTGTTTTAAGCTGCATAGCCTCAGAGGGACTCGAGGGATGCTCTCAGAAAGGCAAAGATGACAAAATTTATGTCCACAGGACACTGCRGCCAGGAAATCCATGAATTCCCATAATGCTTCTAAGTCCCTGCCTTGTGCGTAATAGGTTGTTTCTGGAATGCCTTTAAGAAAATTACTTTAAACAAGACTAAAATATGCACGTTAACTCAAGGACAAAATGGTTTATGTTGTACATGTCCTGCACGTTTATCATTTATCTATTGTGTGTTTGACAATAACATTTTAGCATTGGCAGTTTTACAGGTTTTTACCTTTTTTCAAAACCTAGCTAGAGACGGGGATTGTAATTTAGTCTTATAAGATCTTTAATATATTTGATGGAAATATTGTTTAAAGTAACATTGTCCATGTTTTTGTAATATTGTTTTGCTTGTGCTAAAATAAATTACATTTAATTACAATCTGGCAGTGTCCAAAGATCAGTGTGATTTCACAAAACAAGTTTGTGAAATCACATAGATGACATTTTGTACTTGTGTTTTATGAGAATAAACTGGATATGTATATATAT